GCCCTGAAGTCAACGGGGACCCGAACTTTTGGCCACAAAAATGCCTCTAAAAAACTCCTGGAAAGGGCTAGAGGGCTGCAAAAGGAAGTAAAATGGGGGTAAGAGTAGGACAAGTGCCCTGCAAACAAATGTGGATAGGAAAATCACATAAGATAACATAAAAATTTTAAATACAGCTGAGCCATAGAATAGCACTAGATGGAATCTTTGATTTTTAGCTTTGGAAGAACATAAATCAAAATCTAAAGCATGGCTGTCAGGAGGATCACCAGTATTATCCATTTGAGATAGGGTTGGAGAGTAGGGTATTCTCTTTCATTGTTCAAACCGAGCTCAACTCCTGATGCATGGAGAAAAGGCCTTCACAAACCTCTGCTATTGTGTAAATAGTTTATACTAAGTGACCCATAGGTTTAGGAGGCGGTAACCATGGCGGTGTAGGTGGAAGCAGTGGTGGAGGAGGAGGAGGTAGCCAACACTGTTTTTTATATATATTTTTATTTTATTTTAATTGTGGTAGCCCCCAAAATATCGGGACATATAAAAAAAAGAAACATTTGCGGCCTGTGGTGCATTTCTTGCAGTCCTAATGCATGGAGAAATGCTCAACTCCTGATGCATGGAGAAAAAGGTCTTCACAAGCCTCTGCTATTGTGTACATAGTTTATACTAAGTCACCCATAGGTTGAGGAGGCAGTGACCGTGGCGGTGTAGGTGGAAGCGACGGTGGAGGAGGAGGAGGTAGCCAACACTGTTTTTTATATATCTATTTATTATTTTAATTGGGGTAGCCCCCAAAATATTGGGACATATAAAAAAAGAAAACTCTGTTCCGAGGAGCGACTGACTCGTGCGTGCTGCAGCTGAAACTCCACTATCACCTGCTGTTGCTCGCATAGTCTCATAAGGCCAACACTGTTTTTTATTAGTTTTTTTTTATTTTTGGGGAGCATATAAAAAATGAAAACAAAGAATAAGTGCACTTGAGTATAACAATGGCTGGGTGAGACCGGTATAAATGTCTATTCTGCACAAGGTACAGACAAGTCTGGTTGGATCCATGCCAGGTTCATTTTAATAAATGTAAGCTTGTTCACGTCGGCTGTGGACAGGTGGCTGCGCTTGTCTGTGATAATGCCCTGTGCCGTGCTAAACACACGTTCAGACAATACACTGGCTGCAGGGCAGGCCAGCACCTCCAAGGCATAAAGGGCAAGCTCAGGCCATGTGCCCAATTTGGAGACCAATAAGTTGAATGGGGCAGACCCATCAGTCAGTACGTGTAGGCGTGTGCACACGTACTGTTCCACCATGTTGCTGAAATGTTGCCTCCTGCTAAGACGTTGCATATCAGAGGGTGGTGCTGGTTGTTGTGGTGTGCTGACAAAGCTTTTCCACATTTCGGCGATGCTAACTCTGCCTTCTGAGGTGCTGGCGGTGCCCTAGCTGCATTGGAGACCTCTTCCTCCTCCTCTGCTTTTGCCTTGTGCTTCCACTGAGCCCCCGGTGTTAGTTGGGAATGCCCTCTGCAGCGCGTCTACCAGCGTGCGCATGTAGTCGCGCATCTTCCGATCACGCTCCAGTGAGGGAATTTAGGACAGCACGTTGTCCTTGTAAAGGGGATCCAGCAGGGTGGCAACCCAGTAATTAGCACAAATTAGAATGTGGGCAACTCGGCAGATGTTGCGCAGGCACTGCAGCATGTAGTCGCTCATATGTGCCAGGCTGTCCAGAGGCATGGACAAGCTGTCCTCTGTGGGAGGTGTATCATCTGTGTCCTCCATATCCCCCCAGCCACGTGATGCCCATGAGCTGTGTTGGGTGCCAGCCTGCTGTGAACACGGTTCCACTTGTGAATGACTGGCCTGAAAACCGTGGAAATTACCCTCTTCCTCCTCCTCTTCCTCCTGTGCCACATCCTCTTCCATTATCGCCTGAAGCGTTTTTTCAAGGAGACATAGAAGCGGGATAGTAAGACTGAGAACGGCGTCATCGGCACTGGCCATGTTGGTGAAGTAGTCAAAACAGTGCAAAATGGCACACAGGTCTAGCATGGAGGCCCATGCCCATTGGTGGTGAAGTGGTGCTGTTCCACAGAGCGACTGACCCAAGCGTGCTGCATCTGAAACTCCACTATCGCCTGCTGCTGCTCGCACAGTCTCTCCAGCATGTGCAAGGTGGAGTTCGCATTTGAGGCGGTGAGCAGGAAGGCCGAAGTTACGCTGCAGCATACACAGACGAGCAGCAGCAGGGTGAGAACGCCGAAAGCACGCACAGATGGCCCACACTTTCTGCAGCAGCTCTGATATATCTGGGTAGTTTTTCAGGAATTTCTGCAACAACAAATTCAGCACATGCGCCAGGCAAGGGATATGCGGCAAACCAGCTAGTGACCAGATCTGCTACGAGATTTCACCCATTATCGCACACCACCAGGCTGGGCTTGAGGCTCAGTGGCAACAACCACTCATCGGTCTGTTGTTCCATGCCAGTTCACAGCTCCTGCGCGGTGTGGGGATTCTTCCCCAAACATATGAGTTTTGAAACAGCCTGCTGTCGTTTCACCGTGGCTGTGCTGAAGTTGGTGGTGAAGGTGTTACGCTGCCTGGATGAGGTGGTGGTAGAGTAGAGGAAGTGGAGTAGGAGGAGGAGGCAACAGGAGGCAAAGAGAAATGCCCTGCAATCCTCAGTGGTGGAAGGACATGCACCAAACTGCTATCTGCCTCAGGCCCAGCGGCCACTACATTTGCCCAGTGTGCAGTTAGGGAGAGATAGCATCCCTGCCCGTGCTTACTGGTCCACGTATCTGTGGTTCTGTGGACCTTGTCCGCCAATTGGTTGTATAGGGAAGGCATGGCTTGCCTGGAAAAGTAGTGGTGGCTGGGAACCACGTACTGTGGGACAGCCACCGCCATCAGGTTTTTAAAACTGTCCATCTCCACCAGACGAAATGACAGCATTTCAAAGGCCATGAATTTTGAAATGCTGGCATTCTGGGCCCGCGATCGCGAGTGGGTAGGGGAGTACTTCCTCTTTCTCTGGGAGATGGACAGCTGAAAGCTTCCATGGGACAGTGTGGAGATGGTTGAGGACGGTGGCGGACGTGGTGGTGTTGCTGCCAAATCCTCTGTTTGCAGGGTGGCAGGTGCCACTGTAACTCCAGAGGTGGAGGAATAGGCAGAGACAGCAGCAGAAGAGGAAGCAGGAGGAGCCTGAGCCCTTTCTTGGTTTTTGAGGTGCTTACTCCACTGCAGATCGTGCTTTGCATGTAGATGCCTGGTCATGCAGGTTGTGCTCAGGTGTAGCACGTTTATGCCTCGCTTCAGGCTCTGAATTCACAGCATGCAAACCATTCGTGTCTTGTCATCAGCACATTGTCTGAAGAACTGCCATGCCAGGGAACTCCTTGGAGCTGGCTTTGGTGTGCTCGGTCCCTGGGTATGGTGGGCAGTAGCAGGCGTACCGTCCAGGGTATGGCCACTCAGCTTTTGCACCCTGCTCCCTCTTATGCTGTGTTGGTGCCTCTGTGCCACCACTGCCTCTTCCTCCAAACTGGACACGTCACTCGCATGACCTTCATTCCATGTGGGGTCTAGGACCTCATCATACTCCACATCATCTTCCACCCACTCCTCAACCATGCCCTCCTTGCCAGTCTGCACAGTGCCAAAAGCCACAGCAGTTGGCATCTGTGTTTCGTCATTATCAGAGACGTGCTGCGGTGGTCCTTGCATGTCCACATCCTGACACATAAGTGGTTGTGCATCAGTGCACTCAATTCCTTCCACTTCTGGTTCAGTGCTAGGTGGATGGCCCATGGAAACCCCGCCAGCAGAGTTATCAAAAAGCATAAGAGACTGCTGCATGACTTGTGGCTCAGACTGCTTGGGTGATTTGCAAGGGGGTGAGGTGAAATACAGATGGCCATGGGCTGCAGGTGCCAACTCTGAGCTTTCAGCAGGGCACCGGGTGGGAGACAATGTGCAGGAACTGGAGGCACTGTCAGCCATCCAATCTACTATCGCCTGTACTTGTTCTGGTCTCACCATTCGTAGAGCAGCATTCGGGCCTACCAAATAACACTGAAGGTTCTGTCGCCTACTCGCACATGAGGAAGGTGTTCACTTGTGTGTGTAGCTGGCACAGATTGACCACGTCCTCTCCTTGCAACAGGGATTCCATCAGCAGCACCACGACCAGGGCCACGTCCCTTATTTGACGCTCTCCTCATTCTTTGCGTTCACCCACCAAACTAACAGATGTTTTATGTCAGGCAACAATGTAACCGCCAACAATCAACATTTTTTTTTTGTTTATTGGACTGCAAGAAATGCACCACAAGCCGCAAATGTACTATTTAGCACCCAAAAAATTAGAATTTTTGAAAGTGTGATGTAACCACAGTATTAGATGCTTCGATTTGACTCTCAGATATGAAGAGCAGGCACCAAAAAGTACTATTTAGCAGTTTAGCACCCAGAAAATAAGAATGTTTGCAACTGCGCTGTAAGCGCACTATTAGACGCTTTGATTTGACTCTCAGATATGAAGAGCAGGCCCCAAAATGTACTATTTAACAATGTGACGAAGTGCCCTTTGCCACTTGTGCCTGGGAGATTTGGCCCATTCAATTCAGTATGTTAGGAGTTATGTATTTTTGTATCCTTTTGTGTTTTACTGGGAACATGTGCTCAATGGAGTCTGCTTCTATCCCTGGATAATTGGATTACTTTCCCCATTGTCTCCAGGCTAGTGGGCTCTGTAAAACCAGTTTGGGCCAGATAGCCATGCTGCCAGCCAGGCCCCAAAATATACTTTGCTAACTTCTGAACCCCTGGTCTGATTCATGCCATTTTTTGATATATTGTTTCCCTGAATGGATTGATTGTGAATATGTAATTTGTATGTGAATGTGATGTATATTTTAGAAATTATGAATGCTGTAAAAACTGTATTATTTCTGGCCAGCAGGTAATTGAGCTTTGTGTATTGTAGAATCTCAATTATCTAGCCTGGCCCAGAGGAGGAGTTTTGTGTTGCATAAATTGTGAGTTCTGTGTGCCAGTAAATCAGTCTTGTTCCAGCATTAAGCCTTGGCTCATTTTTGGGGGATTGGAGAAATACACTCTGGGGATTGCTATAATCACTATACTCCCCAGGGTATGATCACTAAGTTCTGCTAAGAGCTTGTTCCTGTTCCTGCTCTCTGGGGAAAGAGAGGTTCACCCACTGGAAGCTGGATCCTGGCCTTGGGTCCAGGGTGGGTGGAGACAGCAGAGACCCCGGCGCAGTTGCATCACTGGAAGTGGGGTCTGCAGTGCTGATGGTGTCGGTTGGAGTGCTTGGAGTCCTCAGCGAGCACTAGGAGCATCGATTGGTGGAGGTACTCAGTCGGAGTGCCAGAGGTCCATCACAAGCAGATTAGCAGCAAAACAATTATAATGTTTACAACTGTGCTGTAAGCGCACTATTAGAAGCTTCGATTTTTCTCTCAGATATGAAGAGCAGTCCCCAAAATGTACTACTTAGCAGATTAACAGCAAAACAATTAGAATGTTTAAAACTGCGCTGTAAGAGCACTATTAGACGCTTCGATTTGACTCTCGGATATGAAGAGCAGGCCCCAAAATGTACTATTTAGCAGATTAGCAGCAAAACAATTAGAATGTTTACAATTGCGCTGTAACCGCAGTATTTGATGCTTCTATTTGACTCTCAGATATGAAGTGCACGCTCCAAAATGTACTATTTAGCAGATAAGCACCCAGAAAATTTGAATTTTTACAAGTGCGCTGTAAGCACACTTTTAGATGCTTTGATTTGACTCTCAGATATGAAGAGCAGGCCTCAAAATGTACTATTTAGCAGATAAGCACCCAGAAAATTAGAATTTTTCCAACTGCGCTGTAAGCGCACTATTAGATGCTTCGATTTGACTCTCAGATATGAAGAACACGCCAAAAATGTACTATTTAGCAGATAAGTACCCAGAAAATAAGAATTTTTACAAGTGCGCTGTAAGCACACTATTAGACGCTTCTATTTGACTTTCAGATATGAAGTTAAAGGACCACTCTAGGCATCCAGACCACTTCAGTTTAATGAAGTGGTCTGGGTGCCAGGTCCAGCTAGGATTAACCCTTTCTTCTATAAACATAGCAGTTTCAGAGAAACTGCAATGTTTATAAACGGGTTAATCCAGCCTCTAGTGGCTGTCTCATTGACAGCCGCTAGAGGTGTTTGCATGCTTCTCACTGTGAAAATCACAGTGAGAAGACGCCAGCGTCCATAGGAAAGCATTGTAAATTGTAAATGCTTTCCTATGAGACTGGCAGAATGCGCGTGCAGGAGAGGAGGCGGAGAGGAGGAGGAGAGCTCCCCGCCCGGCGCTGGAAAAAAAGGTAAGTTTTAACCCTTTTCTTGCCATCCAGCCCTGCAGGAGGAGGCACCCTCAGGGCACTATAGTGCCAGGAAAACGAGTATGGTTTTCCTGCCACTATAGTGGTCATTTAATGCCCCAAAATGTACTATTTAGCAGATTAGCACCCAGAAAAAAAAGATTTTTTTACAAGTGCTCTGTAAGCGCACTATTAGATGCTTCAATTCGACTCTCAGATATGAAGAGCAGTCCCCAAAAAGTACTATTTAGCAGATTAGCAGCAAATCAATTAGAATGTTTAAAACTGCGCTGTAAGCGCACTATTTGACGCTTCTATTTGACTCTCAGATATGAAGTGCACCCCACTAATGTAGTAGATTGCAGAATTATTTCCTAAGCTGTCCCTCACTGTGGCAGCATCCTCTCCCTACACTCATAAGACCTCATGTGCGTGTGGCGCTGCGCGACTCCAGTTTATATATAGAGGCTGGGTCACATGCTGCACTGGCCAATCACCGCCATGCCATTAGTAGGCATGACTGTGATGGCTTCTAAGGGCACACGAGTCAAACGCTTGTTGATTGGCTGCCCTGCAGCCTTTGAAAATGCACCATTAAATCGCTGAACACCGAACTCAAACCCGAACATATAGTGATATGTCCGTGTTCGGGTCCGGGGTCCAAAAAAGTAATGTTCGGTATGAACCCGAACTTTACAGTCCGGGTTTGCTCAACTCTAGCTGGGAGGTATCTACACTGCAAAAATATCTCACTAAAAATATTATACCAAGGGGCCTGTGAGATGAGCTAGGAGGTATCTACACTGAAAAAATATCTCTCTAAAAATATTATACCAAGGGGCCTGAGAGTCCAAGTTCCCCCAGCTAGACAAATGGAGATGGAGGATTTTTACAAAGAGTGGGAGTAGGCCTCTACAGTTTGCTCTAATACATTTATGACCATAATCTGTAAATATGAAGCAATTAGACTTGAGACGGTCCAACAAGAGCTTGACAAAGAAATAGAGGAATTTCAAAAAATAAAAAATGACACTCTTTTTGAGAATTTGGAAGTAAGACTTAAACCTAATTTAGACAAATTTTCACATCAGGGTAAGGTGAGGAAGGAGGGAGGGCCCCTTTAAGAGGAGAAGCAAAGTTGATTCTGATTATTTTAGTACATCTAAATATAACTCTACTGACACTGATTCAGAACGCTCCTCTACCTCACAAACACCTGCACAAACCAATCCACCAATAAGTATCCTTAAAAAAGGAGTGGATTTTTTAGTTCTGCATCAGGCGGAGCTGTTCCAAGGTCCACGTACCAGGAACAGGGCCCGGGGTCAGAGACGACGAAGATAGTCTCCAAAACATCACTACAATTTGTTAACCTTTCCAGCAAAATACTCATTGATATACAATTGGAAATATTGTCCAAGGGACTCTCCTTTGTTCCTACTCCAACCTTTAATACGTTTCTTTGGACCAAGGATATACACTTATTCGTACGTAAACTGGCCCTGCACAAATACCACACTATACATAAAGAAACCAAAGCTCAGAGCATGGGACTATCACCAAAAGATCTAGACTGTCTTGAAACACTAGTTGAATTATTGGATTTTGGTTATGGATCTTACATAGTGAGATCCCACATACTAATTTAAAATCAAAAAGTAGATTCACTCCACCCTACAAGGATTATAAAAATCTGGAGGTGTTTTTGGATATAGTGTGCAGGGAGATTGATTCCATGACAATTGATGAATCCCAATTAAACATGAAACTTACTGGACAGGAGAGGGCGGCAATTAAACAACTTCAAAAATCCCTGACATAATTATCAAGGCCTCAGATAAAGGGGGTAACGTAATAGTAATGGACAGGGAACACTATATCAGTATGGCGGAATGCCTTTTGCTGGATAAGGCTACATATCGTAATCTCACAGTTGATCCAACCCCTCAATTCATAGACGAATTACAAACTCTATTGACTGAAGCATTAAATTCAGAGCTCATCTCTAGGGACGAGTTTGACTTTATGAACACCAAAGAACCCTTCCTATCCACCTTTTATTGCTTACACAAGATACATAAGTCCCTGACAGAGCCAACAGGTAGGCCGATTGTATCTGGCTGCAGTAATGTTACCCAAAATGTAAGTATTTTTGTGGATAGGACCCTATTACCTTTGGTATAATGACTTCCCTCCTATTTGAGGGATACGAAGCAGCTTCTTAAATTTTTGGCTCAATTGGAGCTCCCCAGCCATGCTATTCTATTCAGCTTAGATGTTGAGACACTCTACAGCTCAATTCCACATAACCTAGGTATTGAACATATCCAGGCTTTTCTTCATCTCAACTCAAAATTGCCAGATATATATTTAGACTTTATCTCTGAGCTGCTTAGATTTGTGTTAAAATGCAACATCTTCTTATTTAATGGTAAACTATACCAACAAGTAACTGGTAATGCAATGGGTACACCTTGCGCACACCTTCTTATGCAAACTTTCATCTAGGCTGGTGGGAAAGGAGTATTATGGTTGATCCTACCCTGAAACCATACATGGACCAAGTCATTTATTGGAAAAGGTATATAGATGACATTGTTGTCGTCCAGCTAGGTACTGTGTGTGAATTTGAGGAGTTTGTTAAGATACTGAACATCAGTCCTTTCAACCTACGCTTCACTAGTGAGGTAGGCGGATTGAAACTTTCCTTCCTTAATATATATATATATATATTTATATCCCTGGGCAATTATGGCAGAATTCTGACTACTCTCTTCAGGAAAAAAAATGGCAACCAATAGCTTACTCAAATGGTCACGTTATCACCCAACTCCCTTGAAAGCTGGGATTCCTACCAGACAATACCTGAGGTTAGAGTAAAACTGTTCCTCCTTGGATGATTTCAAGGACAAAGCAAGATTCTTACAGCATTCCTTTAGGGAAAAGGGATACCCAAATAGGATCCTAAAAGGGCCTATACCAGAGCCTTGTAACTGATCGGCAATTTTGGATTGAAGTGAATACTAAAAAATCAGAAGGTGGCATAATACGGTGCATTGTCACCTTTGATGTAGGCTGGGAAGCTATGCAGAGTATCTTTTAAAAGTTTTGGCCTATCTTAACATCCGATAGACACCTTAGGGAAGTCGTATCCCCCTATTCATCAATTACGGCACGTAGAGGGAGGAACTTGAGAGATCTCCTGGTACCCAGTCACCTTTCCACTACTGTTAATCCAAGCCATATTCAAAATTACTTACCAATGGGGCCACTGCAGTGCATCCACATTTATCAATAGCAATTCTAGATGCTATTCTGATAGCAATAAGACAGAAACTTTTTACTTTTTTAATTGCCGTACGGTTGGAGTAATCTACTTACTCACCTGGTCCAATGGTCTGATGTATATGGTGAGACATTCCGTCCCTTTAAATACAGAATCCGTGAAATGTGAATTGAGTCAGAAGACGTTTAGAAACTCCAATCTACAGGCATTTAGAGCTGCATCATGACCACTCCTCAGCCGGTATACGCTTTAAGGGCTTGGATCATATACCACAACCACCGAGTAAAGGTGGTTGGGATTCCAAACTTCATCAGAGAGAGACCTTTTGGATATATAAATTAAAAACTTTATCGCCGCAAGGGCTAACTGAAAGTTTCTCATATTCGGCCTTCATATAGGGGTTATTTTTTCATAAACACTCACCGTAAATCCCAATTGGTTGATCACTCTGAATGAGTGATATAAAGTTAATAGTAAACTCAAATTGCAACAGTGTGTGGAATGATATTTGTTGCAAAGATGACTCCATATACCTGTAACAATT